AAAATCCTATAGCATCACAAAAAAAAAGAAAAACAAAAATAAAAAACCCTAGAACTAGAGTGAAATGGGAAATAGAGAAAGGAGGAAAGAGAGAGAGAAACCTGTCGATGGGAGATGAGGAGAGAGTGAGCGACAATGGCGATAAGACGACGAGTGAGGGACGGTGAGCGATGGAGAGAGAGAGAGGGAAAGCAAGGATCCTTTTTTTTTTGTTTGGTGTTTGGTGTAGGTCTCTAAGATGAGACACAAAGAAATACTCTCTCCGTACCAAAATATCAGTCTTTTATTCCATTTTTCATTATTCCACAATATTAGTCAATTTTCAAAAATCAAGAATTAAAATAATATGAATTTCTTATTTTGCCCTTTTTTAAATTCATTAATAACATAAAGTACAATTATGACAATTGATATTTTCAAAAAAAATGTACTATCGAAAGGTAATTTTTAAAAATTAATATTTTAAAGTGCAATAATTGTACTATAAAAAAAAATTAGATTCCCAAAAAGGACTATTATTTTGAGACGGAAGGAGTAAAAAATATATATAATAAAATTAAACATAAAACTTAAATTAGGCGGTAATATTTCGTTTGGTCACAACTAAGCCTCCGTTTGGGAAGTGGGTTGGCTTTTTGACTTTTTGGCTTTTTTGACTTTTTTGTGAGAGAAGAATGTAATGATTATAGGTTGGATGTGATATTTTGTTTTTTGTGGCTAAAATAGCATATTTTGTCTTTTGTGGCTAAAATAACCAAAAAAGCCTCATTTAGCTCTTGCCAAACGGAGCCTAAATACTTTTTGGTTAGCAAAACTTTATATTTGCCGACCAAATTAGCTAGTCACGAAATATTAAAAATAAAATTATATTAGTTATTTGGTGACTAAATTTATTTTAGTTGGCAAAAATTTGTATAGCACGACTAAATATTTTTTGATCACCAAAAATTCATATGTGCCGACCAAACTAGGTAGGCCCCAAATATTAAAAATAAAATTATGCTAATTATTGGGCAAATAAATTTCATATGGTCAACAAAAATTAATATACAACGACTAAGTATTTTTTAATCATTGAAAATTCATATGTGCCAAAATTAATTTTGAAATTCTTCCAAAATTCTAAGTCCTCCCTCCAAAACTTTAATTACAATTGCCAATTAAAATTTAGTCACTAAAAGTAAAATAAATACCAACTAAATTATTTTTAGTAGATAAATATTGTACATTTAGGCACCAAATTATTTTTTAGTCGACCAAAATCCTATATTCAATGACTAAACATAATTAGTCGCCACAAGTGAAATAAATATAGATAAAATTATTTTTTAATAGCTAAAGCTTGTACCATTAGGGACCAAATTATTTTTTTATTCTCCCGAAATCCTATTTTTAATGACTAATAATATTTCGACTTGTGTAGTTTTATATTTTAAAAATTGTAAAATTTGTTAAAAAAAAATTTGGAACTTTTTCAAGCACAAAGAACTCCTAACATTTTGCAATTATATATAATATAGATTTAGAATTAATTACACGAATTTCTATTGATAATTACATTAACATTTCTAAGATTATTAAACTTATACTGCCTTCCAAACTTTACTTGAAAGAGTAATGATTCATCCCCTCTTTTCCCCCACCCCCTTTGATCCCCTCTCTCTCTCATTGGTTACCTTTTCTTTTTCTTTTTCTTTTTTTTCCTGCTCCACCAATCACCCCCTGCCACGTGACAAAGGGGGGGTGAGGGGGTGACCCCCAAAAGGGGGTCCCAAGCATTATTCTACTTGAAAATACCCAAAGACCTCCTTTCGACGATGGTAGTGGCATTGGTCGCCGACGGTGATTGTAGCGACATAAAAGCATAGACAAGTGAATGAGAAAATAAATAAAGAAGATGGAAGAGAGAGAAAATGGCTAATTTTGTCCAAATAAAAATTTTCAACTAGACAATTGCACCTCATTATAGTTACTTTTCAACATTTCATTCTTTTCCATTTTTTTTATATACAACTTTGATAAACATCATAACAAGGCCCGTTTGGGTGTTGGCATTTTGGCTTGTTTTGGAAAGTGAAAATAAAGAAGTGATGTGACTCAAATAAATTAATAAGCTAATTTTTTTTGGGTCTTCCCAAAAGAGGCCTTTGACTATTTTATGAGATGAAAAAAAGTTGTGTTTGAAATTGAGAAGGAGTTTTTATGTGCATTACGGCCGAGTTAGGGCAAGGCGTGGTAATGGGCCGTTCTGTGGGCCATAGTAGAGAAGGTTGAGTAAAAGGGCCTTGGAGTTAGTTCGGTCCAAAAATGGCCTTGTAGTTAGCTCAGTCACCCCGGTTAGGGGTGGTAATTAGCTCGGCCACAGTGTTTGGAACTGAGTTTTAAAGGCTTCTTATGATGGACCTTGCTTTGGTTAGCGCAGTCAGAGCTTGTTGTAGTTAGTTCGGTCTCAACGATCAACCGAAGTGCAAATGAACAAGAGCCGAGCTCTGAATTGCATGTGAAGGTACTGGATTGAGTATGACAAATAGATATTGTTAGTTCGGTTATATTGTCATTACACCGAGGTAAAACCATTTCACTTAGTTTAAGCAATGAGGGGGGTGTTGAAGGATAAGCATTATCTTTCAGAAGTGTGATTCCTAGGAGAACTCTACATGGAGGAGTAAGAGTCCTACTAGGATTGGGCCACGCGAAACCTGTAAAAGCTCATAACAGAACCTTTGGAAGAGGTAACACAACTTTGATTCCCGAATACACAGAACTTTTTGGCTATTTGCCTATTTTGCTGACTTAGGCATCGGAGAGGTATTCGGCATACACCCGTCGGCTAGCTCACGTTTGTGTTTTCAGGAAGTAAAGCGACGACGTTTGGAGGAGCGCAGACTTGATCAACAGGATTATATGAGAAGATTATTTCTTGCTCGTACAGAAATGATTTGTGAATTTTTTAGTAGTTAAGGCCTCGTTTGGCAACCGAACTTTTTAGCCCAAAAGCCAAAAAAGTTACTAAATTAGCCAAAAAGTCAACAACCCATACCAAAAAGTCAAAGATTCTCATTTCTCTCTACTTTTTGCACATCTTTTCGTAAAAAGTCAAAAAGTCATCCCAAACATACTAATTTTTTTTAGTTCATATTTTAACCAAATAGTCAAAAAGTTACTAAATTAGCATGTTCCCAAACGAGGCCTAAATAGATAATTGTGAGAACAAAAGTGATTGATTGATGTGTAGATTGTAATATTTTATCTTATTAATTATTTTAATCCCAACTTGAGTTCCCAAAGAGTGCCTATGTCGAGGGGTAGTGTGAAGAAATAAATTAAATTTAGGCTTGGTTTGGAAAATCACCAAATAAACTGTTTATTGACTTATTTCTATTATATTACTTTTTTATTTTTTTCTCACATTTTTGTAATAAATAAAAGGGCCTTACTTGTCTTTAATTGGAGATCAAGATTGGACCCGTCCAGTCTACACCATGGGCCTACTTTTGGGCCATGTTTCGATAATCCAAATCGTTCATATTTTAAGATTTGTTGAGTACATCATCCATGTAAAAAATCAAGTTAATCGAATAACGATATCATATTTTTAATTCAATTTTGTATAAAAGGAATGGACGATAAGAAAATAAACCATTCATATGAAACTGATTCAAACACGTGATTTTTGTGATGCAATCGACTTATTTTTTACATGGATGATGCACTCGATAAATTAGAAAATGTGAACGGTCTGAATCATCGAAGCAAGGTCCAAAAGTGGATCCATGGTACTGACTGGACAATCCAATCTTAATCTCTAACTAGAGACAAGCTAGACCAAATAAAAAAGGAAAATGTTATAGACCCCAAATTTTCTACTAAATAAATGATCAAATGTCTTATATGGGTGTGGGGTCAGCAAATGACCAAATGCACAGATGGGTGTGGGGTCCGCAAAACATTTAGTAATTTATTTAGTAGAAAATTTAGTATTCCTAACATTACTAAAAAAAATCAACTAACTCCTACCAAAAATAATTGCTTATTTCTACTTTTTAAAAAACACTACTTTCTTATTTTTCGTGTTTTTGTGTTTGTACTGATTTTTTTTTATATTTTAAGCAATTTTTTTACTTTTTAGATACACCTAACATAAATACACCCAAAAAGTAAAAAAATTGTAAAAAAAATCTTTTAAAAATTCACTAAATACCAAAAATATAAAAAAATACAAGAATTCAGTACATTTTTTGTATTTATTTATTTTTTAAAATATTTTTTCACAAATTTTTTACTTTTTAGATACATCTAAGTAAGGTGTATCTTAAAAAGTAAAAAAAAATGTTTAAAATTTAAAAAATATTCACTAAAAACAAAAAAACACGAAAATAAAAAAAATCAATTTTCAAAAAACTTAATCCAGAAAACTTAAACCAAACACACTGAATAATACTTAGGGTTGGTTTGGAAAGTGAGTTGGCTTTTTGACTTTTTTTTGGCTATTTTAATCTGGGTTAAAAAGCTTAGTTTGTGAAGGACTTTTTGGTGTGAAAGAAGAGTGTAATGATTATGAGTTGGATGTGATATTTTGTTTATTGTGACTAAAATAGTCTATTTTATCTTTTATAGTTAAAATAGCCAAAAAAATTCACAACCTATCTTTCCAAATAGAGCCTTAGAGATTTACATTTTGTACCCACAATAACATAACAAAGGTGGTGGATTCCATATAGCTTATTTTGACATCTATATTAAAAATCAACTTTTAAAATTTTCGACTTCTTTAATTGATATCATCTCTATATTTTCTTTATAATTTTTAAAAAAAAATTAATTTTTAACATATTTCTCAAACTATAATTAATAAAAAGTTGACACTAGGGAGATAAAGTTAAATTATGAGAGATTTTGTAAAATATTTTCCTACTAAAAAATTCTCTCTCTCTCTCTCCCCTCTATGTAAATGTTTCAAGTATCCCTCAATAAATGCTCCCCTGTATGTAAATATTGCTAGTATCCCCCCAATAAATACACTTTCCATTGACCTTACACATTCACACCCATTTCTCTCTCACCAGTCACACAGCTCCACACTCATCAACTCTCAAATCTCTCGCCGGAAAACACCCTCCTCCCCACCCAATTTCGCCGCACAGTCCCCACCATTCTTCCACCTCCACCACCACCACCACCACCCAAAATGCAAACCCATCTTCCGATTGAGTCCCTTCTTACATAGATATACATATACTTACTTTACATACCCAAAAACCCAAATGGGTTGCTGTGTCAGTACCCCCAACAAACCCGCCATAGCTCCCAACCACCACCACCCCCATTCCTCCTCCGTAAGATCCAACATTCCCCACCACTCCAAGGCTGCGCCACCGCCGGAAGAAGAGACGGTGAAGGAAGTACTATCCGAGACTCCGACTCCGAAACCCCACGTTCCTAAAATCGTTGAAGACGACGAAGAGAAGAAGATTGGATCGAACCCAGCACCGATTCATAAGATCCGAGAAGAAGAGAACAACATCAACAACAACAACAACAACAATGTCGACAAATTGGAGACGCCATTAATGATGATCACTACTACTACTACAGAGGAGGTCTCAGAGGTCTCTGAGATTTGTAGCTTGAGCGAGAGCCTCTCCACTGTGACGACGGAGAAGAGAGAGGACGAGGTCAGATCGCCGGCCAAGTTCCGAAACAGAGCAATTTCCGGCGAGAGGAGAGAAATTGGTAGAACTCCGGCGAGAAGATCGGATCCCTCTCCTGGTCGGGTCAGATCGGTGCCCGGAAGAGAGCGACGCCCGGCGGTGGCGGCGGAAGGGAGGAGGCGGGATTTGGGGGAGAGCTCCGGGCGGCGGTCGAGGTCGCCGGCGACGCGTGCGGCGGAGACTGGTGGCGCTGGGAGAGCGGGTGTGGGTCGGAGTCCGTCGGGTAGGAAAACCGGGAAGAGTCCGGTCCGGGAGAGATCCGAAGTGAATGAGAAGACCCGTAAACCCGAAGAGGACACGTGGCTATCACCGACGACAACGAACGAGTCACTTGAAAACCCGCTTGTGTCCCTGGAATGTTTCATATTTCTATAGGGTCATTTTGTAATTTTGAACAATATTGGGGGTCATTTTTGGAATGACGTAGGACCAAAAAATGTTATTGCTTTGTTTATTTGTCTCAACCTAATCAAAAGTCAATGCTAAAATTTTTGGTAGACGAAATCTTTGTCTGGTTACGAAATTACAAATTTACCCTTTGTGTGATTAGTTCTTTATCCCATTATGGATATATTTGGATAGAAAAATCTTGCGATTTTTTTTTCTACAAATTAATGTAGTAATAACTTAAATTGGTATATGTGTGGGAAGTAGCCATATGAAAAGTTGTTTCCGTTTGGTTGTGAAATAAGAAGCGATATTGGTGCTGTTTGGTGTAGATGTTAAAATAGATTATAGATTATAACTTAACAGATTATACATTATGACTTTAATTAGAAGCTGTTAATCTGTTTGGTATAACTGTTAGATTATAAATTTAAATTGCTGAGTAGTGTTTGTTAAATAAGTTGTGAAGTAACTTTTTCAATTAATTTTTATTTTTTATTATTCACTATTTGTCTACATTTTTCATAAAAAATAATAATAATATTTAGTAGTCCATTTGGGTCTTTTTCAATTTTTTAAAAAATAAAAAATAAAAAAATCTAAGAGTATAACCGTGAATTAACATGTCCACAGCAGAAGCTGAAAATCAGAAGTAAGGGGTGAGCAGCTTCTCAGAATCAGTTTTTTTTGACTTAAAACAAGTTGTTAGAATCAGAAACTGTTTAAAATAAATTTAACCAAACAGTCCAAAATAACTTTTTAAAAGCCAGAAGTCATAAGTTGACTTAAAAAAGTTCCACCAAACACCCTCATTATGAGTGAGAGAATGATATCAGATTCAAATATTGATACGATGATAAGCGTTTAAGTAAAATTATGGATTTTGATGGGCTAATGCTTGGCGGCCAAGTGCGAGTTCGGATCGTCTAGGGTGATTCCCTGAAGTGATCCTCTAGAGTGATAATTTATGATGCGACACGTGTCCAATTAATGAAATCAATGGTTGAGATGTTCCCTCTCCAAAACGACGTCGTTTTGGTTTTGATTTTTTTTTTTTTTTTGCAGATCGGGAAGGAGAAAGGAATAGGTTAGAGAGAGAATCTCCTCCTTCTCTCTAGAACCAGACCCAGATCTCACAATTTCCAGCAGATGAATTACACAATTTGGGTGAATAATGGTGAAGGAATAATGAGTTTTGGGTGAATAATGAATAATGGTGAAGGAATAATGGTGAAGGAATAATGAATTTGGGTGAATAATGAATTGCTTCAAGGACAATTTGGGTGAATAATTTGTGTCCTTGAAGCAAACCAATCGCTAAAATAATAGGTCATTTTATTTTTTGGGTGAATAATGAGTTTGAATTTTTATTTCAATTTTTGAAGCAAACTCTGCAAAAAAATTGCAGAGAAAAGATGGAGGAGCTTCGAAATCGATCTTCGTTTTTTTTGCTATGTTAGTTTAATGGGTTTGATCATCTTTGTAAAATCTCTATATGTACTCACCAAAACGACGTCGTTTTGGTGAGTTTTATTCTCAGCCATTCGATCAAGTACTTTAGGAGATCACTCTAGGAGATTAACTCCAGAGGATCCGCTCGCGCCAAGTGCAGCTTGAGGAATAGTGAAGTAGAAATGGATGCAAGGATGGTGATGGATGAAAATAACTCAAATTTTAAGCTTAAAATCATTATTCTTGATTGCTGGTTATTACAATACCAGTTGGGAACAAGATAGAGATAACATTGTTATTGGGAGGCCAACTCATGTGCTAGTAACAAACTTGGGCAGCAAGATGGATTTGGGCTTTCATACTTTTAAAAATAATATTAAAGATTTTAAAAAATTTTACTAAATGTTTCATATAAGTATGGGACCCACACAATATGAGTCTCATGGGGTGTTTGGAAAGAAAAAAAATAGCCTAATTTAGGTTAAAAATCACAAAAAGACAAAATAGGCTAAAATAGCTAATAAGACAAAATATGACATCAAACCCATAATCATTTCACTTTTTCTCTCACAAACATCACATCTAACCACAAAAAAATCCAATCGTCTTCCCAAATATAAAAATTTTAGCCTATTAAAATAGCCAAAAATTAAAATAGCCTACTAAAATAGCCACTTCCCAAACGAGGCCTCAATTGATTATTAGTGGAATCAAACTGTGAGTATTGCTTTTCTTTAATTTTCTAGATGCATGTAGGATTTTGGGTATACTTTTATGGGTTTTGTTGATTTTTCTTATTCATATATATTATCTATGTATATATACACACATATATATGAAGAGTTGGTTGGGTTCCACGAAACTCATTTATTTTGATTTAGTAGGAATTAGTGGGACTACTGTATTGGGTTATTCTATTGAATGGTTGTTGTGCCATTACTATTGTTTGGTTGTTACAAAAATGTTTGATAACCATTCTATCTTCCTTGCTTATTAAGTGTTTGATAAAATGTTTCAATGAAATTTACATACACACAAATTGACTTTAACACACGCTACACACATTGGTAATTTTCATCATAAAAATTCATAACTATCTTATGATGTGCATCTTTTTTTTTTTGGGGACAAATAAACAAACTTTATTAATATGATGTGCATCCTTTTAAGAGTGGACATTATTAATTTCTCCTAATATATGAGAAATCAATACATGATAAATTAATATTTAGCCAAGAGAATGCATTAAATATATATATATATATTCAAAGAACAAGATTGAAACTTTAAACAAATAAATTATGGGTTTGTTGGGTGCTCTGTTCTGCAAAGTAAAGGTAATACTCTCATCTCTTTCTTAATAGATTATTGTGTGTATATCTATTGATTACATATTTTTTTTTTGTTTTTTTTTCTATCAATTGATCATTAGTGGAATAGAGAAAGAACGATTCCCAAAATCAAACTGTGAGTATTGTTTTTCTTTAATTTTCTAGGTGCATGTAGGATTTTGGGTATACTTTTATGGGTTTTATGTTTTTTCTTATACATATATATTATCTATGTAAATATACACACATATATGAAGAGTTGGTTGCGTTCCACGAAACCCATTTACTTTGATTTAGTAGGAATTTGTGGGACTATTGTATTGAGTTACTCTATTAAATGGTTTACTATCGCTTGGTTGTTACTAAAATGTTCGATAACCATTCTATCTTCCTTATTTATTAAGTGTTTGATAAAATGTTTCAATGGAATTTACACACACACAAATTGACTTTAACACACACCACATACATTGGTAATTTTCATCATAAAAAATCATAACTATCTTATAATGTGCATCCTTTTAAGAGTGGACATTATTAATTTCCCCTAATATATGTGAAATCAATACATGATAAATCAATATTTAGCCAAGAGAATGCATTAAAAAAATATATATATTCAAAGAACAAGATTGAAACCTTAAACAAATAAATTATGGGTTTGTTGGGTGTTCTGTTCTACAAAGTAAAGGTAATACTCTCGTCTCTTTCTTAATAGATTATTGTGTGTATATATATTGATTACAAATTTTTTTTCTTTGAAGCCATAGAGACCATCAATTGATCATTAGTGGAACAGAGAAAGAACGATTCCCAAAATCAAATTGTGAGTATTGTTTTTCTTTAATTTTCTATATGCATGTAGGATTTTGGGCACACTTTTATGGGTTTTGTGTTTTTTCTTATACATAAATATTATCTATGTATATATACACAAATATATGAAGAGTTGGTTGGGTTCCACGAAACCCATTTACTTTGAATTAGTAGGAATTTGTGGGACTATTGTATTGAGTTACTCTATTGAATGGTTGTTGTGCCATTACTATCGTTTGGTTGTTACTAAAATATTCGAGAACCATTCTATCTTCCTTTCTTATTAAGTGTTTGATAAAATGTTTTAATAGAATTTACACACACACAAATTGACTTTAACACACACTACAAACATTGGTAATTTTCATCATAAAAATTCATAACTATCTTATGATGTGCATCATTTTAAGAGTGGACATTATTAATTTCTCCTAATATATGAGAAATATATATTTAGCAAAGAGAATGCATTAAGAAAAAAAGTTCAAAGAAAAAGATTGAAACCTTAAACAAATAAATTCTTTCTTATTAAGTGTTTGATAAAATGTTTTAATAGAATTTACACACACACAAATTGACTTTAACACACACTACAAACATTGGTAATTTTCATCATAAAAATTCATAACTATCTTATGATGTGCATCATTTTAAGAGTGGACATTATTAATTTTTCCTAATATATGAGAAATCAATATTTAGCAAAGAGAATGCATTAAGAAAAAAAGTTCAAAGAAAGAGATTGAAACCTTAAACAAATAAATTATGGGTCAAAATTAAAAAAATAAATTATACAAAAACAAATCAAACTTGAACTTAGGCTTTTTGTACATGAAAAGCAATTGTCAAAATTGACTTGACCTACTTTGGTCAATTTGATAGAGATAATGTCACACCCCAAACCCGTCCCTAAAAGTTTCGGGCATGACTTATTCAGAAACGGACACTTAACCTGATATACGTAATATATGGGGCCTGGACGGAAGCATTAATAAAATTAAATAACATAAAACATCATCCATTGAGTTACCACTACTATGCCAGGACAGCAAACATTACATTAGGTAGATAATACACAGGAAGTATATACCCGAGCTTTAGTTACAGTCATTCACATTCATACAAAAGTACTAAAGAAGAAAGGGGTTATTTACATTCAACCATAGGCAGACAATCAAAGCATAAACCGAAAACCTAGCTAAAGCTTTACAAAATGTACGGGTTCCATCTTAAGTGCCTGGACACACTGAGGTTGACAAGAGATAGACAAGTCTCGAGGGTTAGGACTGGCTTTCCAGTTGGTTACCTACAGAAACAGACAAAATACAGAGTGAGTAAAACTCAGTAAATAATAGCACATAAATAATGTAATGGTTAACTTAAATAACAAAGCATATAACTGTGAAGGCATATGATTAATTACATTCTGTAGTCATTTATAGAACGGCCATGGGCCCAATTTCCTTAACAGTGTGGCTTTAAGCCCAGTAATACACAGAACGGTCATCGGCCCAGAAA